TTCTGTTTCTTTCTGTGTATTGTCTCTTTTTCCACTGGGTCCCATTGGTTTGCTTTCCTTTGTTCCCTTCGTTTTGCTTTCTCTACTGCTCCTTTGGCTTTGCTCTCCATTGTTAATTTGATGTTTGTTTGGTTTTTTTGGTTTGCTTTCCTTTTTCTTGTTCATTCTGTTCCACTGGGTCCCATTGGTTTGCTTTCCTTTGTTCACTTGGTTTTGCTTTCTCTACTGCTCCTTTGGCTTTGCTCTCCATTGTTAATTTGATGTTTGTTTGGTTTTTTTGGTTTGCTTTCCTTTTTCTTGTTCATTCTGTTCCACTGGGTCCCATTGGTTTGCTTTCCTTTGTTCACTTGGTTTTGCTTTCTCTACTGCTCCTTTGGCTTTGCTCTCCATTGTTAATTTGATGTTTGTTTGGTTTTTTTGGTTTGCTTTCCTTTTTGTTGTTCATTCTGTTCCACTGGGTCCCATTGGTTTGCTTTCCTTTGTTCACTTGGTTTTGCTTTCTCTACTGCTCCATCGGCTTTGCTCTCCATTGTTAATTTGATGTTTGTTTGGTTTTTTTGGTTTGCTTTCCTTTTTGTTGTTCATTCTGTTCCACTGGGTCCCATTGGTTTGCTTTCCTTTGTTCACTTGGTTTTGCTTTCTCTACTGCTCCTTTGGCTTTGCTCTCCATTGTTAATTTGATGTTTGTTTGGTTTTTTTGGTTTGCTTTCCTTTTTCTTGTTTATTCTGTTCCTTGGCTCTTGGTTTTCTGGCATTGTTTTGCTTTGTCCTACTTTCTATTTTGCTTCTTGTCTTTCATTCTAGTTGGTTTTGTTTGGTTTTTTTTTTTTTTTCCATGTTCCACCCTTATTTTGCTTCTTGTCTTTCATTCTAGATTGTTTTGTTTGTTTTGTTTTTTTTTTTCCATGTTCCACCCTTAGGTTTTGCTAGCTTTTATATTGTCTCACTGTGTTGCTTTGAATTTTTTGCTTTGCCATATATCTGCAGTCCACCCCTTTGCTCTTTGTTTGTCCTTTTCTCCCCGGTTTACTTGGCTCTTTTCCTTTTCCTTTTGGCTTTTGTTTCCTGCTCGGTTGGCTTTGCTTTCTACTGCTGATTTTTCTTTTTGGTTGGTTCTTTTTCTTTCCACACCATGCCTTTGCATTATTTTCATCGCTTTCAAAGGTTGTCTCCGCTTTTCTCCTCTTTTTCTTTGGCTTTCATTACATTCCTCCTTCTTGCACTTACCTTGCTTTTACTTACCTGATGTTAGCCTTCTGGATTGTTTATTCCTACATCTTGGCTGTCCTAGCCTCTGTCCTTGTTGTGGACTGGAGGCTTTTCCTCGGGTGCCTGGCAGCATCCATGCCCGGTAGCTACCCTGACCTCCTCCTCGGCATGACCGCAAGCGCTTTCCCTTCCTCCAGAGAGATGTTTTGTCCTGCTTGCAGCCGCGGACTCCTCCACGGGCGCCAGCTGAGGAAGTGCATCTCTGCTGGAGGTCGCAGCATGCCCAGTAGCTACCCTTTCCTCCTCCCAGGCACGGATGGTGAGCTTTTGGCTGCACCACAGGCTCTTGTCACCTTTGCTTTGCCGTCTCATTGAATCCCATTTCTTTGTTCTGTTGGTTGTTTCTGTTTCTTTCTGTGTATTGTCTCTTTTTCCACTGGGTCCCATTGGTTTGCTTTCCTTTGTTCCCTTCGTTTTGCTTTCTCTACTGCTCTTTTGGCTTTGCTCTCCATTGTTAATTTGATGTTTGTTTGGTTTTTTTGGTTTGCTTTCCTTTTTCTTGTTCATTCTGTTCCTTGGCTCTTGGTTTTCTGGCATTGTTTTGCTTTGTCCTACTTTCTATTTTGCTTCTTGTCTTTAATTCTGGTTTGTTTTCTTTGTTTTTTTTCCATGTTCTCCCTTTAGATTTTGTTAGCTTTTATATTGTCTCACTGCTCTCCCTGTCTGCTCGTTCTCTACCCAGCTCATTGTCCACTGCTGTTTCCCACACTTTTTCAGCTTTGTTATGATAATGTCATGGAATACAGTGTCAAACGCTTTTCTTAAATCAAGGTAGACTACATCCGTTGCTCTGCCTTCATCCTCACAGGCAGTGGCAACATTTTGGGTTTGTGTTATCGATTTCTCTCTGTGTTAGGCCTAAGTGTTAGAAGTTGGGATTAAGAGTTATGCCGTTCTGGAGGGGTAAAGGGTTACCGTGTTGGATATGGGGTGTTATTGATTCCCATTTTTGATTTGGCCTTTTTGGGTTTTGATTATGAATTAAGGGTTCCCATTTGGATTAAGGTTTGCCTAACCTTAGGGAGAGACCATTGATACAAACCCACAACCATTTGCCTTAGCACTTTGCCCTCACCCAGAAGGGTAACCTTTAAACCTGACCCAGATGCATAACGCTTGGCACAGAAGCCTTAAGCCTTAACCGATCTAGGAAGCCTAAAGCCTAACCCAGAAGGGTATTTCAGTACTCACCAATCACACCGAACAGTTACACTTCACCACAACCCAGAGCAGGATGAAGCTGAGCTCGTCTGCTGCCAGGGCTGCTCTGAGGCACAGGGCATGGCGAGCAGCTGCCGGCAGCACAGCTCACCCAGGAGGTGCCTGGACCCAACTGCCAGCTGTCCTGGGGCAGGGCCCTCTGTCCTCATGGAAACGCATTGTGACAGCATAAAGGTTCCAGGAGCCCTGCTGATGTCATCTGTTCCATGATGTGCCCTGTGCTCTGCCTGGCCTGGAGCCGATGCCTCCAGGCTGTTGTTTAATGATGTCTGAGTGTTTTTTGTGTGTTCTTTTGTGTTTGCTTTTTGTTTTTTCTTTTTTTTTCTTTTTTTTTTTGTTTTTTGTTTGTCAGTTGTCATCTCTGCTTTGCCATGATGTTAAATCGTATTTCTTTGGTGTTCTGTTGGTAGCATTTCTTTGTATTTTGGGATATGGATATGGGATCGATTTGAGATAGGATACAGGGGTATGGATTGGGGGTGGGATGTGAACATGGGATGAATATGGTCTGGGATATGGATAGAGAATGAGACGTGGGATGGGAAAAGGAGATACGGATAGGGGATGGGCTGTGGGTATGGGGTGGATTTGGGATATAGAATGGATATGAGGGTCTGGATATGGATATGTGTTATGCATATATATGTATAACACATATATAACACACACACACACACACACACACACACACACATATATATATATATATATATATATATATTGCCCCCACCCCATGGGAACAATGTGGTCTGTGAGCAGGGGCCCCAGTTTTGGGATGTGAAACCTTGGGGGATGTGGCGGCATCCCCAGCTGTGGGACTGTCCCCAACTCTGGGGTGTGACTCTGTCAAGGTGACATGAAAATGTCCCTAACTTTGGGGTCCGATACTGTGGGAGTGTCCCCAAATCTGGGCTGTGACACCATTGGAGTGACAGGGAGGTGTCCCCAAATATATCTGTGACACTGTGGGGTGTCCTAACTTTGGGGTGTGACACCATTGGGGTGACACAGATTTGTTCGCAGCTTTGGGGTGTGACACTGTGAGGATGACATAGGGGTGTCCCCAACTTCAGGGTGTCACACTCTTGGGGCATCCCCAACTTTGGGGATGTGACACCGTGATGCGGTGTCCCCACTTCCCCTGGGAAGTCCTCGAGCTGCTCGTGGTGTCCCCAACTTGGACAGAATGTCCCCAGGGGGGTCCTTTTGTCCCCTCTGTGTGAGGGTGACACCCAATGACAATGATGCCCCATCAGGGCTGTTCTGCACTGATGTCACCCCTGGTCCCCTCTGGTGCTGGCACAGAGTTCACAGAGTGTGCGTCCCCATCCTCATGACAGACGATGGTGACAGCGCCAGAGGGCTCCGGTGTCACCGGGTCCGGCTGTCGGCAGGCCTGGAGGGGTGACAGAGGACAGTGAGAGGCTCAGTGACAGCATGGGGCCACCTGTGCCTGTCCCCACGTGGTGGTCAGAGCACAGGGAATGGTGTCACCCAAGAGATGGTGACAGAGACAACTGTGAGAGAATTGGGGGCTGTGGGAGGGCTTCAATGGAACATAAAGGGGGTCCAGTTGGGGTCAAAATAGGGAAATGGATTCCAGAGGGCAGGGAGGAGGGCATGAAGGTACAGGGGACTCTAGGGGTCAGAAAATGGAGTCAGGAGTGAGGGGAGTAAGGGAAGATAGGGGACCTCAGGGGGCAAATTGAGGGGACTGGGGGATGGTAGGAGATTCTATGGATCAGAATGGGGGAAGTGGAGCAGGGGTACTTGAGGGAACAGGGAATTCTGGGGGTCAGACAGAAGGAGGGAGGGGGATGAATCTAGGGGAGAAAATGGGAAGACTTGGGAGGGGTGGCAAAAGGGGACACAAGGGATCAGAGTCGGGGACAGATGGACAAGGAACCCTGGGGGTCAGAATGGGGAACAGGGACAGACAGTGACAGAGGAACTGAAGGGGAAGGGTGGAAGAGGACTCCAGCGATGAGAATGGGGGAAGTGGAGGCAGGGGGCAGAGGGTAAGCCTAGGGTGGGAGCTGAGAGTGGGCACTGCCCTCCTGCCAGCTGCACCTGGTTATGGTTTGCCAGGCCCCTGCTGCCCTGGATTTCGCCTGAGAGGTTTGTTCTAGCTGCCTGCAGTAGTAAAAGATAGGGAAGAAATGGAAGTCAAGAGCTAAGGCTCTACACGGTAACTTTGCATGGATTGAACTGTGGCACCTGAAGACACAGGTCCATTCCTGAATAATGCTGGCATTTTGCAGGTGTGTTGGTTTAACCCCTGAACTGATGTCTGTGAGCACCTGTCTTCTCCACCTGAACTGTAAGAAAGCTGGATGTGACCAGAAATTGCAGCAGTTGCTGTGAATACTCTCCCAAATGTTTGTTTCTTTTAGTGATAACTAATGGCTCAGCACTGTGATCTCATGTCTCTGGCACAATCTGGAATGCTTCATCTCTTTGCAGATGTTGGGTGCCCGTTTCCATGGACCTTCTTTTCTTTCTCTCCTCAGAAGCAGTGCAGTGTGGTTCCCTGCGCTAGGGAGCAGAAGCCAGCATGCTGCCAGAATGCCAGCTGGGCCTTGCAGTGCACAAAGGCAGTGTTGGGGATGGACCGTCATTAGCACCACACAAAAATGAGCCTCTTCAGTCCTCTGTAATGAAGTATGGAAGAATGCATTTAAAGTATTACTTCTGAGCAGGTGCACTGCTGTAGGATGTCATGGTGAAAGCATTGAGGAGGCTGACAGTGGTAGCTGATGGCAGCAGTGTGGCAGAAGTCCGTGTATAAGTGGTGGTGCTCAGAGCTGAGTGCATTCCTGAGAAAGGCACTCTTGACTTTATAGCATTTTCTTTCACCTGGTGATATGTAGAAAGTCAGTGGAGAAAGGAGCCAGAACAAAAATACCCTACTTAAAGGGCAGCTGCATTTAGATATCTACAGCATGCCAGGTTGTTATGTGAGAACCGAGCACTCCATGACCTGTAGGATGCAATGTCTTCTGAGATATTATTGGAAGACTATTATTGGAAGACTTTGTGGACAGAGACATGTTTAGCTCACACTGCATCATCTACACTGCCTAAGGAAGTTATGCTGCATTAAGAAAACCATGCTCTCTGAGAGCACAGTTTCCCATCAAAAAGAATTATTTGGCAGACCACCTTGGGGTCAAACTATAAAGCAGATTACAGGACAAGTACAAGGGGCAAGACAAAAACGCTTAAGGCATGGTTTATTACTTCTCAAAATAGAAATTTAAGAAAGGGTTAGGTAAATTTCTCACTAGAAATGCCTGTTAGTTTTGCTGGAATCCTTAGTGACTAATTCAGACATAGACATCTATGCTGCAAGTGTCTATAACTGTATGGATAAAGTTCATGATCAGCATGTCCTGTAAAGCTATAGCTACGTTGTCTTTGATTTTTACTCAACAGGTTGCAACGCCTTACATGTGCTATATGAATTGCAAAGTTTGCCTACACACTGGATCATCCAGAAGCTTTCACACTCTCCCTTTGTGGAAATGTAATCAACTCATTAATGGTGGGATCGTGAATGAGTCCAATGAGAAGGCAGCATCAACAGTGAAAGTTTGACTATAAACTGAAATCATGAATTACCGTGGTTGAATCTGAACCAGTAGTCCAGTAATAGTTCTATGAAGTCTCAACACCTACCAGATCATTTCTAATGAATTTAAGAGATAACTTCATGGTGCATGAGTTGGTTCCTTTTCCTTATCTTATTCCATACAGGTTTTAGTATCACTCTAGGGATTTTTTTCATAGAAGAGGACTTCTTGAAGGTTATCACTTGTACATTATGCTGTTACATAACGTACAGTATGGATTTTTTCCTAAGAAAATTGCATGAACAAAACAAGGAACAAATAAACTTTCATTTATTTATTTCAAAATATATATTTTATTTTAGTATGTATTTGCTGACCAACTTCCACACGGAGCTTTTGATCTCCTTGTTACACAGTGTGTAGATCATAGGATTAGTCAAGGGGAAGACAACCGTATGGAAAAGAGCAACAACCTTTTCCATTAGGACAGCCTCAAAGGGTGGGACATAGATACAGACAGGTGGGCCAAACATGACAAAAACTATGATGATGTGGGAAATGCAGGTGGAGGTTATTTTGTTCCTTTTTTGGACTGTCTGGAGCTTCAGCAAGAGGACTGTGTAGGAGACGAGGAGAAGTGCAAAGCACATGACAATGACAACTTCATTGTTGAGGAACATCAGAAGTTCCACCGTGTGTTAGCACAGGCCAAGTTAGCCAGCTGACACACATCACAAAGATGTCCAGGACGTTGGGTCCACAGAAGGGGAGTTTGATGGTGAGAGCAAACAGAATGATGCCATGAACGAAGCCACCACCCCACGAAGCTCCAACCAGGGCACAGCATGCAGTTCTGTTCACAAGCCTGGTGTAGCAAAGAGGTTTGCAAACAGCAACGTAACGGTCATGGGCCATGGCCAAGAGCAGGAAAGCTTCTGCTGCTCCCAGGAAGTCAAGAAACAAAAGCAGGGTCATGCAGGCATTGTAGGAGATGGTCTTGGGATTTGAGGAAAAGTCAGCCAGCATTTTGGGTGGGGTCACAGAACAGTAGCAGATGTCCCTGAATGCCAGATTAGCCGGGAAAAAATGCATGGGTGATCCAGCTGGGAATCCTGAATTGTGAGAATGATAAGGATGTTGCGTGGGAGAATTATCATGTAGAACAGCAGGAAGAAGAAGAGGTTTGACTGGACTTTGTGGGATTGAGACAATCCTAGCTGAATAAACTCTCTAACTACCATATACTTTTCATGCTCCGTTTTGACTCTTGCAAGCCCTGAGAAGCAGACAGCAATAAACACACTAATGCCAATATGTTGCAGTATTTAAGCAACTTGGGCTATGCTTAGGCTACTGAAATGCACATCCTGTGACCATTAGCTGGTTTTATGGATCTCTTCATAGTGAATTTCTTGAAAACTAGTCATTTAGATTCCCACTGACTTGAGAATTATACTGGAATTTTGAACAGAAAGTAAACATGTCGTCAGATGTTCTCCCTAACAACTGGCACCTGGATTAAATTTAAGTTGTAAAGAATCAGTCCAGTCTCCTGTAGTAGGCTAATCTTTGTGGTTTACAGTGTAACTATCTTGTTCTGAAATAGTGAAACGTACAGCCTCTCCAAATGAGCAAAGTAGACCCTTCCAAGGTACAGTGCATTTCCTTCTAATGCAGACAGCCAAACAAAGCTAGATGAATTGCAGTCTAAAGTTGCTAAAAACCTAAAATCACATCCACTGATTATAAAAGGAAACTAATTACAGACCAGTCACATCTGAAGGAAGATTTCAATTGAACAATTTAAAATCCTTGTAGTTAATGTAGTTAATGTCAGTATAGACATCCCAAGGAATGGCTAATTTCATCCCAGATTTTCTCTGGAGTGCATCAGTTGAAGTATATTCAGAAATAACTTGCTTTCTCCAGTTGTCTTCTGAGGGACATAAATGTGCCTAGATCATATGCAGACTTTGATTTTTCCCCAAAGAAATCCCATAGCAGTGTCTAATTTTCCAATGAAGTCATCAGAACACTGGAAACAGGAAAAAAAAATAAATTATTTAAATATCTCAACAAAATTAACCAAGAATCAACAATATGACAGCCATAGAAAACAAATTAGTATTTCTCACGGAGCACATCAACTAATTTCATTTTCATACATTTTGAATTAAACTGGATTTTGATTAATCACTCATTAAGAAAACCATTTTTAGAAAGTAAAATTTATTTTAAAAGTCTTTCTATTGATCTAAATCCTTTCATTCATCCCAATTCTTTTGCTTCTTTTGAGGCAGGAGAAAGTAACATGACTTTTTACTTTTTTTACTTCAACATCTTTCTTCCATTTTGCTGCAAATATGTTAACTTTGTATGAATGTCTGCTTGTTACTGCATTAGGAGCCTGGCCAGCAATGTTGAACTAGAGAATAGAACATTCTATGGTTCTGTGATTCTAGCTGGTGTAATATTCTTTCTAATCACTCTCAGTGGTTGCCCCTTGGAGTTGGGCAGCCATTGGGATGGAGGTGTGTTTTGGCATTTATCCTGATTATGAGAAAGATTTTCCCACAGAAATGTCAGTAAGTCACTTCCTGTACTTACTGCACACCAGGTGCAATGTAGAGGTCCCCTGCAACCGATAATTTATGCCTCTGATATGCAAATGAGCTCCCAAACTCTGACTTTGAGGGGATTCAATTACACACCTTGGTTGTTGTCCTCACAGTTCCATGGTTGTTGTCCTCACAGTGATGCTTCTGAATCGGTATGTGGCTCTCCATATATCTTTGCAGTACCCAAACATCTTCAATCACAGCAATTACAGCTCCAGCTGGTTGCAGCAGTGTGGGAGGGTCACTGCTCATTCTAATGTGCAGGTAGAACTGTCATTCATTTGTCATCCCATGGATAAAATTTCCCAGACAATTTTTACTGTGATGTCACACGGGTGATCAAACTGGCCAGTATGGATATTCATGCAGCTGAATGGCTTGTGGAGTCCAAGAATGGTCTGCTAACAGTCCTCAACTCATTGCCCTGATTGTGTTGTAAGCTGTCACCTTGACCAGAATCAAGGCACGTATCATAGAGAGGATGCACAAAGCCTTTCTCACATATGGAGCCCAGGTCACAGAGGTGAGCATCCATTTTGCACCTGGCATCTTTCTCTGCACTGCTGTTCAAAAAACTTGTGGTCAAAAAGCCATGTTGTCTCTGAACAGCCACCCCCGGTGCCACATTCCATCATCTACACACTGAGGAACACAGAGATGAAGAATTCCAAAAGAGATTTCTCAGTAACATCTTTTTCAAAACGAGCAATTGAAAGCTCTCACTCCTCTGTTACATAGCTGTTCTCTGTTACAGAGAAATATAAAAACAAAATACTGTCAACTTAATAATTGCCTGTAGGGGACAAATAGAATGAAATTTGAAACAACATAGAGGTCAGACAATGACCTCTATAACAATGCTGCCTCTCAAAGTAATAACAGCTTTGGAAACAAAACAGCTGCTGACTAAACAATGAACCTGCATTTAAAAGAAAATTGACAATAACAAAACCAATAAAAGCATCCCTTGCTCATTTTAGTAGTTCACTCTGGGTTCAGTTAATGTCTGAATTTCTAATTTTCAGTAATTCTACAGAATTTATGTATGGATGTTTCAGTTTTGTTTGTGGGTTTTGTTGTTTTTATTTTAGTTTATGTAAATATATTCCAACAAAGAGGTGATCAAGGTTTGGTGGAGATTTATTGAGATATCAGGATATCGTGTTAAGCATCTGGAGACCTAGGCAGCCTATGTGTCGGGGTTAAGCTGACAGGCAGCTCAGCGCCACACTACTACCTGTGCATGGGGGAGAGAGTAGGGAAAGAAAAGCAAAACTTGTAGGTAGAGATAAAGAGAGTTTATTAGGAAAATAAAAATGGGGGGCAAAAAAAAAAGAACACACAAAACAAGTGACACACAAGGCAATCTCTCAGTACCAGCAGACAGAAGCCCAGCCAGTCCCCAAGAGCTGCAGTCTCCCTGGCCAACTTCTCCCCCGTTTTGTTGTTCTGTAGGACATCTCCTAGTGCAGAATTTCTTTCAGTTTAGCTCATCTGTCCTGGTTCTGCCCCCTTCCACCTTCTTGAGCACCCTGTCTTCTCTCCATCAGAGCAGTCTGAGAAGCCGAAATGTTGTCTTGGTTCCCTTGTCATATATCAGCCTTAATTTTCACCAGGTGAAGATTAAGTTTCCTAGTAGTCCAAGTAGCCTGGGAAAACCTGTCTTTGGTCTTCTGGGAGCCTTTGTGTTTTTCAGAGGTGTCACTAGAAGGAATGGCTTCAGCAAAATTTTTCTCAAGAAAGGAACTCTTGGGACCCAAGCACAGATGTGCAGAACCTTCTCTTAACTTTAATAATGGGTTGTGGGTGATGTTTTCCAAAGTGCTGCCTGGCTCCAAAGTGAACAGTGAACAAACCAACCATAAACACCTCTAAGAGGGAAGCAGATGACCACAGCACAGATTGAATAGCAACTGTTAGTAAATGTTAGTAAAACTGTTAAAGAAATGTTCACAAAAGAGAGTAAATGCTTTCTGCATCTACAGGAATTTACTACAAGGTTTCCACTTATTAATCCAAAGAGTCTTTGCTAATTACAGGTATTAAATGCAGTCAGCTTTACTTTTTCTTTGTTTGTTAGCTTTGTTTTGTTGTTATTGTTGAAAATCTTTTTAGCTCTCCTGGTTTTCTGAATTGAAATATAAATAATAATGATTTCCAGAGAGAAAGAAATGACAGAGAAACATTCAGTAGAATTTATTAACGGAGTCATGGTACTTTAGATCTGAAAGAAAGGATGAGAGATGCAAAATACTAATTATTCTGTCTCAAGTCCCAAGATACCTTCCTGGTGACTGTGCTGCATGAAATGCTTATGTCTTTCTGGAAGCAAGGAATGAGCATCAGTTCCTCGGCCTTGTTAGAGCACCTCTGCTATGAGGAAAGGAGCTGGGCTTGCTCAGCCTGGAGAAAAGAAGGCTGAGGGGAGGCTGGATTCTTTCAGTGCATGCAGAGAGCTTACAAACAAGATAAGGACCAAGTTTTCACACAGTAAAATAATATTTCTTAAGTGACAGGGTCAGCTGAATCTCCTGCAATGAAAGCAAGACCTTCAGACCCAAGTGTCCAAATAAGCTGTGGCATGGGGGTGGATTTGACTGGTTTTAGTGAGCTAGCAGCCTTACATAGTGACCTATGCCAGAAATAGCATTTTTAAGCTCCACATTCATGTACAAGAAAAGGTTTATTTCTTCCTTGGGTCAGCTATAGTTTTAATTAGTACTCCTTTCACTTCTTTATTCCTCAGGCTGTAAATCAGGGGATTTAGTGCTGGAATTATAGCTGTGTATATGAGAGAAAAAAATTTCTTAACGTCTTGAGAGTAATTGACTTTGGGCCGTAAGTAAATCAAGCTCCCACTGCCATAATAAAGAGTTACAACAATAAGATGTGAAGAACAGGTGGAGAAGGTCTTGCGTCTGCCCTCTGCAGAGGAAATCTTCAGGATGTTGGAGATGATGCAGGCATAGGACACCAGGATGAGACAAAACGGTGCAAAGATGACCAGCACAGCGGTGGTAAGTGTCTGCTTTTCATACAAGGAGGTGTCAGTGCAGGAGAGCATAACGAGTGGAGGAATGTCACAGAAAAAGTAGTTGATCTTGTTGGGTCCGCAGAACCGCAAGGTGAACACCCAAGCTGTCTGCACCACAGACACTACGTTACCACTGCAGCACGACAGCAGGACTAGGGAAAGCCTGGCTTTGTTGTTCATGATGATGGCATATCTAAGGGGGTTGCATATGGCCACGTAGCGGTCATAGGCCATAGCTGCCAAAACGTAGCATTCGGTGGCCCCCAAGAAAATGACAAAGTAGAGCTGTGTGGCACAGCCCATGTAGGAAATTCTCCTGCCCTCTGGCAGGAAGCTTACCAACATCTTGGGAATGACAGTGGATGCTGTGGAAATATCCAGGAAGGACAGGACCCGGAGGAAGAAGTACATGGGCATGTGCAGGGTGGGATGCGCTGTGACCAGGAAGATGAGGAGGTTCCCGGTGAGGGTGAAGGTATAAATCAGACAGAAAGAGAAGAACAGCCAGTTGTCCTGCTCTGGGTGGCTGGACAATCCAGAGAGGACAAATTCTGTCAGAAAAGTATGGTTTTGTGGTTCTGGTCCTTCTGCTGGCTTCATGTGGGAGGAATCAAAAGGATGGAGCACCAGAGGGCTGGTCAGACCAGAGCACTTCAAGACAGCTGGCAACCAAAACACCTACAGTCCAAAGAAAGCAAGAGAATTTTACTACACTGGGGAGAAGTTCAAAAATGCCTGCTTGCAGTCTGCAATGATCTATTTTTCCCTGCTGAGAGGACTGGTAGTATGAACAGTCTTCTTCTAAGACATTTGTTTATTGGTTTTGAAAAACTCATATGCAAAAGTGAAGGAATCCCAAACTCTAGGATGCCTTGGCTCACATTCACAGCCTTCCCCAACTGCCAGTGGGACACAGAGACTTCAAAAAGCCAAACCGCAGGGAATGCACACCCAAACAGAACAAAATTAATGCACAACAAAGCAAAGCCTGATAACCTCTGCCTATTGTCTGTTATAGGATAATTAGGGAGAAAATATAAAGAGAGAAAACTAGTAAAGTATAAAGGGTGAAGCTCACTTCTGTCTGCTTAATCAGTCACACTGGCTCATTACCTTGAGAAGTGCCTCAGTATGTGCAATGCAGATGGATTATTCATGCAGCACTGTGGCACTCATGGTAGGTTGATGTTTTGTTATTGCCCTCAGTGGGAAACTGATTCACAAAGAGATAGAAGAAATCCAGAGGAGAAAATGGTCATTCTGTGTTCTCCAGGTTCAAGCTCTGTTACCTACAGGGAGAACCCTCCACCAGAATGCACTAGTGAATCTCAAGGCACAAAATGTTCTTTGGTAGCAGAAAGGTATCCTTATATCATGGAAATGTGGTAGGAAAGTACAATTTCCTCATACACACGGGGATCCAGTACACAAACCACAGCACATACAGGACAAATCATCAAAGCAAGAGCAATGCACACAATTCTATTGTAAGCTAATCATTTGTTCTACTTACTTAATCCTAGGCTCTCACATTCAATACCTTTTCTTGCAGTATTCTGAACGCTCTTGGGAAAGGACTTCAGCATATGTGCATTTCTTTTCTCCTTGATGTGAAAACAAAAAAAAAAAAAGAAAGAAAGAAAGAAAAAACAAAATTAAAAAAAGTGATTGCACAGCGCAAAGGCTTCGAGTTGCTTGTTAATCGTTTCCACTTACCTGAGATTTCTTTTGCAGAGGTGTTACAGTCAGTTCCATTAATAGACTCTTCTTGAATGCACTGGTTTTTCTGTTCTCACGTTAGAAATTTCCACTGGAGAGACAGTAGCACACCTGGTGATGTGGCGATTCAGACCACAGATATTCCAGGTTTTTTCACTGATATGCAGTCAGTTAATCAGTAGGGCTTCAGCTTCTCTACTCTGTTGGCTTCTATTACTTGACACCAATTTTTAGCCACTGAGTTTTCTGACATGAACAGGGAAGCAAGTAAGTGAGAGATGGAGCCATCGATGATTTTAGGCTTCCAAAGAAGAAACAAAAACAAAAACATCTGGCATTTTCAGGATAGTAAATATCCTTCAAATTCAAAAAGAACTCTTGTCTAACCATACACTGAAAAGTGCTATTTCCATGTCCAGCTATCATGGATCTTCTGATCACTTTTCTTATTATCATTGAGATGGAGAAGGAGTATTACAAGAAGAGTGAATGGAAAACATCATACATATACACATATACCATTCATATCAATCAGTTGAGCCTTGTTCCTTGATCTCATGTAAAGACACAGGAGGCAATATTTCAGCCTCTCTATGTGGATAAAAATATGTGCCACTGAAGCACTGCTTTAAACAGACTTTAAACAGATTTGGAGCTCCTGCTATTAGGTAGGGATATGTTAAAAGCAAATAAAGAAACAACAACAACCAGAAAAAACACTACCTGATAAGTTTTGAATACATCTGCTTTCACTTTAAGAATAATGATCTTTGATTTCCACAGTCAGTGCTTCACCGATACCTGAAGCTTCTATAAGAAAATCAGATCAATTCTTGTGACAAAGCAGTTGATCAATGTTGATGGGCACTTCTATGAAGTGCAAGTGAAAGATCTTGATCTATTTTCCCTGGAAATAAGATGAATCTCATGCTCCTATGGGGCCCATCAGATGGAGACGTGGATCAACAGTGTTCTAATGAGATGGGAATTCTCTGGTTCCTTTCATCAGAGTAGATGTGACACAAATAGAAGGCAAAACCCCACATTTGTTTTTTCTTCTAAGCTCCAGAAGTAAACAAGAGCTGGGAGTTAACCTGCTTTGTCTCTTACTTTCCTGTTCTTTGCTCTTCAGATCATCTGTGGCAACCCAAATCCCAGAACTGCTTTTGTTCTGACTGCAGGGACCTTAATGATTTGTTGCCTCCAGTACCATTCCTCTGAGTTTTTACATGAGGCTGATCAGTTTGCTGGGGCAGTCCTAAAATGCGCACATCTATGTGTGACCAAGGGATCTAAAATATTCTCTTTCAGTGAGGAGATTCATGGACTCCTGTGTATGATTTTATTTATCTTCATCAAGGAAAGCCATAAGCATCATATAGCAGAAAGTTCCAGGCCCCATAGACATCCATATGTCGTTCCACGAGGAAACTCACACGTACTGTATGGAGATAATGTAACAGAGCAGCAATAATAAACCTCTCAGACACGCTTGTTTTTGAGGCATTTAATATAAATGCAGAATAAATGATTCCACATATCCAAAGATATATATTAACAGTGGGCAAACACATTAATCTTTAAATAAAATACCGTAATAATAATTTAAAAAAAAAAAAAATACACAATATAATGACTATCTAAACTTAGGGAAAATAATGCTGAGTTGAATCCCGTTTACAGGTACAAATTAAAATGTTCATATTCAGGTGTTTGCTCCCGTTGTTCATTCTCTGCCATATGCCACCTGGACTCCCCATGCTGCCATAGAAGAGCAAAGTTTCCAGGTGATTCTCTGTTGTCACGGAGTTAACTAGTTCAATCTGTGTCCATGACAGGAGGCAGCAGGCCCCTACCCTCCCCCCACCTGGTCCCACAAAATGGGAAGGAAGGAAGGGAGAAAAAAACAGCAGCAACAGAGGAAAACTGATTTTACTAACTATGATATCGGAATGCAAGGTAACACAATGTAATACAATCTTATTGAATCACAGAATCACAGAATCGTAGGGGTTGGAAGGGACCTCCAGAGATCATCGAGTCCAACCCCCCTGCCAAAGCAGGTTCCCTACAGCAGGTCGCACAGGTCAGCATCCAGGCAGGTCTTGAACATCTCCAGAGAAGGAGACTCCACCACCTCCCTGGGCAGCCTGTTCCAGTGCTCCGTCACCTCACTGTAAAGAAGTTCTTGTGCATATTTGTGCGGAACTTCCTATGCTGCAGTTTCCAGCCGTTTCCCCTTGTCCTGTCTCCACTCACCACTGAAAACAGTCTGGCCTCGCCATTCTGCCCCCCACACCTTAGATATTTATAGACCTGGATCAGGTCCCCTCTCAGTCTCCTTTTCTCAAGGCTGAACAGACCCAGATCACTCAGCCTTTCCTCATAGCAGAGATGCTCCAGGCCCTTCACCATCTTCGTGGCCCTCCGCTGTACTCTTTCCAAGAGATCCTTGTCTTTTTTGTACTGGGGTGCCCAGAACTGGACACAGTACTCCAGATGAGGTCTTACCAGGGCAGAGTAGAAATTATTGAAATTGAGACTAATAAATAAGATAGGAGAGAGAGAGTTCCTGAGGCTAAGTCAAACCTGAAAAGCTTGGAACGGCTGGGAAAGCACATCCAGCACCCACTGCCAAGCAGTAAGAGAGCGCCCACCCGAAGGGCCAGATCCCGTGGCTTCCGTGCTGTACAGGGATGGTACCTGGAATTGGAGCACTAACACCTTAATGCTTGTACACTACATGATGTTTTGATTCGGAACACCGAAAACCAAAAAAACATAAAGCCATGACAGTTGTCATATCTCAGTGTGCCCATGGTGCCTTGAAGCAATCTGAATTGCATGGCTGGGCTCAGGGAACTCCACTTTACCCTAAAAGCTTTCCTTTTAGGAGGAGGTTGTCTCATTCAGACAGTTCACTTCTTCACGGAAGTTTGATAGTGCTAATGATGCCTGAGGAAAGTCCAATCGTTTTTACTCCTTAGTGCCATTTGACTTGTTTCTCAGCAACATTGGCAGAACGTTCAGAGTTTTTTATAGGACTAGTCTGTCTGCACACAGAGGTCCGGATGGGATTCTGAAGTTTCATTCAAGTTTGCCCTGATCTGAAAAGAAAGTCTGCCCTTGCTTGCAAACATATCTGCTAAGGTCAGCAATCAAGCTCCTAAGAGGTTTTCTATCACAGTTTTGCTGATGTTTCTTACTAGTTGGGTCATATGCTTGATATGATAATCCATGCTGTAAAGGAATTCAGGAGATCTTTTAGGACAACCTCTTACCCAATTCAGAGTCAGTTATGAGGTCTGACCAGGTTGCTTAGGGCTTTATCTAGGAGTATCTTGAAAATCTCCAGGGATGTAGACTACAACTGTTAGTGCCTGACTTCCAATGCAGTGCGTGGAACCTCTTTTTTCATCAAATCATAGAACAGCTTCGGTTGGAAGAGACGTTGTATGGGAGCTGCTGAGTCACAGCCTGAACCTGATTGATCACCTGAGGCGAGCACTGAGTCAGCCAGGGGAGCACAGGTGAAGGCAATTCTCCTGTGCTGCTGGAAGGGGTGCAGCCTGGCTGCACCTCTCCTACACCCATTTAAGAGCTGACTGCCAGTAGGGAAGGATTGCTTCTGGAGATCTACTCTGCTGGAGTTTTATAAGCAAGCCCAGGATATGGGTAAGTGTCCTATCTATTCTCTTTTTGTTATTATGACCTGCTTTGCCTACCTCTTTTGTTTATTTCTTAATTATAATATTCACTGATTATACAGATGTCAAAGATCATCTACTTGCCACTCAATAAAGCAGGTTGCCTTGGGCTCTATCCAACCTGATCTTGATTGCTTTCAGGAATGATGTGTCTATAGCTTCTCTGGAAAACTTGTTTCAGTGCCTCACTACACTCTTTTCAACTTTTGTCTGCTATCTCTTTCTCCTGCTATGTACTACTGTGAGGTTGGAAGGGATCTCTGAAGGTTGCTTGATCCACTCTCTCTGCTCAAGCAGGGACATTTGGAGCAGGTTGTCCAACAGCATGTCCAGGTGACTTCTGAAGATCACCCAGGAAAGAGATTCCCCATCTCTGGGCAACCAGTCCCAGAGCTCCATCTCTTGCATAGTAAAGAACTGTTTCCTGATGTTTAGATGGAACCTCTTGTGTTCCAGTTTCTGCCCATTCCCTCTTGTCCTGGCACTGGCAGTACTGAAAACAGCCTGGCTCTGTCTTCTTTGCATCCTCACTTCAGGTACTGTTAGACATTGACAAGATCCTCCCTGAGCCTCCTCTTCTCCAGGCTAAATAATCCCAACTCTCTGCCCTCATAGAAGGGGTGCTCCAATCCCAAGATCACCTCCACAGCCTTACACTGAAGTCTTTCAAGTATGTCCAGATTTCTCTTATACTGAAATGTTCAGAACAAGATGCAGTACTCCAGCTGTGTCCTTGCTGGTGCTGAGTAGAGAAGAATCCCCTTTCTTGAAATGCTGGCAATATTTTGCCTAACGCAGCCAAGACTGTCATTAGTTTTCTAAGTGGTGAGGGACCATGCTGACTCCTGTTCAGCTTGGTGTCCACCAGAACTTTTCTGCAGTGCTGCCTTCCAGCTGAGTGGCCCCATCATGCACTTGTGCCTGGGGTTGTTCATTGCCAGCTTCAGGACTTTGCACTTCTTGTTGAACTTCTCACATACTTGTCAGCCTACCCTTCCAGCCTGTCAGGGTTCCTCTGAATGGCTACGCAGCCCCCTGATGAGTCAGGTCAGCCACTCCCCACACAGTTTTGTGTAATCTGTGAATTTTCTGAAGGTGTGCTCTACTCTGATGTCCAGATCCTGTACTGACTCCTGGGCTACTCCACTTGTTACTGGTCTTCAATCT